GTTTGAACACGCACATGCGCAATAAAAGTACATCGTTTATATTAAATGTTATGAAGGGTCTTTTTTATTCAAAATTATTCTTAGGGTGCATATATGACAATAGGTTGCTTCAAAATATTGTTAGAAACACTCTAACTCGCATTCATTTCCATCAGAAAAATTCAAGCGTGCATTCATTTTAATGTGAACTATTATCGATAATATAAGCAGAATCACGCATACTATACATATTAGAATTAATGACACTATTACTATGTTTTTATTGCTAATGAGAACATCTTCAGATGTTTCATTTACAGAGAGTGTGTTAAAATATTCAGATCCTGGTTTTCGACAGAATAATTCTTTTTTCGCCGAATAACATGATTCCTCGCTCATTATATCAATATTAAATGCAGATAAATTTATTTCATTTATTTTTTCATAAATTGGGATATTGAAAATTAGAAGTAAAGTCTGACTGTGGAAACGCATTCTGAATCCTACATGGGAAAAAAAATCTCCCTGATGTGTGTTTTTAAAATCGATTGGAATCGTCATGTTGCGCGGATGAAGTTCGCTCAATAATTTCCACGTATCATTCTGCAGGTATCGAAAATCCAAAATTTGGTCCATAAGCGAATAATCTCCTCTGCTAAACTTATCAATAAAAAAATATATGCGCGTAAAATCAGATGAGATTTTTTTAAAGATTTCACATTTTTCCATGTTTGTCGCGATTGAAAAATCTGCCAGATCCAACTCCAAATTATTGAGACTAAAAAAAGTTTTTCTGAATATTGGCTTTTCTGGTTCAATTCCATTTTCGAATACTTGTTCCATTGTTAGAATATCGTTCAACTTCCGACTCAATTGCGTTTCGAAACGCTTTATCTCTTCAGAGCAAAATTCATTTACGGCAGTACACGTTTCGCTAATCGCTCTGCTCAAAATCGAAACGTTAAAAGCATAAATTAGCGATTTCTGTCCCACATAGATATTTATCGTTCTGTGAACATCTGCCTGCCGTGAAAAGTCGATACTGCATATCATCAACAGTAAGCTTATTATTCTAACCATTCTTATTCTGAAAATCGGATAAAATTCATTTAAAATATACAATATTGATATGATTTTTCTAAAATAATCAGAAATAAAAACCTTTTCTTAAATGAACACAACGTCAACATACGATAGTGATGAATAATAAAACTATACTGCTTATATGTTGGAATAAACTTCATTTTTATTTACGATATATGGTACAGAAAATAGGATGTGAGTGGGAGAATTAATATCAAAACTTTAAAGCTATCTTAAACGATACAGCCGCGTTCTCTCAATTGATCTAGTATCGAATGAATTTCCTGCATGTGATTCGTATTGCCTGCATTTCGGGAAGATATTAGCAATTGTAAACGATTGCACAGCTCGTTTGGATCATCAAAATATTGATAAATGATATGATTTTTAGCGTTGTATGGTAAAAAGTCAAAATTGAGCGAATTTGTTTTGAATCCACGACCTTTTCTCGCTGTACTATTGCGAGTTCTTGAGCTAACCGACGCTCCTTCACTATCAGAAGAAGTTGGAGTTAACGTCATTCGTTTAATTCTACGCTTATCTTTCTCCAATATCGGACGAGCTGATGGACTTTTTACAAATTCGGAAATGACTTGTCTATCGCGACGCCATTGTTTTTTAGCATTATCAGGCAAATCTTTGAATTTCAATGAGGCTGGTGACATTTCTCCGGTGGTTTTCCGGGTCCGCGTTGTATGTACTATCAGATCATCTGACGGAGGTTTGGAATAATTTTCAATAGTATCGGCATCGTATTCAACCTCATACGTATAATCTCTTAAACTTTGCAAGGGTCTAATCTTTTTAGGCATTTTTTTTGTTGTTGCCCACGGTCCTGGAGTATAAAATTCAGATTTTCTAGCATCACTTTCACTATCCGAACTCTCTGGGAGTTCAATATGACTACTTCCGTGATCAGATTCAGCCCGTTCTATCAATGGTTTCATCGCTATAGCCACTCTATTTTTAGCAGGTATATTCTGCTTCTCTTTCTGTACACTTTCGATCACATTAGTCGATTTCGAAGAAGAAGAAGAAGAAGAACCAATTGCTGATGTAATCGGTTTGAATGCCTCACGCAATTTTCGCTCACGCTCCATCCTATCTAAGTATGCTTGTTTGAATTTCTTCTTAATAACGTTTCTGGCTGTTACCAACTCCGATAGAACATTTGCCGATTTTCTCGATTGCATTTTTGTTAAATTGGATGTTTGATGCACCTGTATACTCATCCAATGATGGTAAAACACTGAATTTCCTCCATCTTTCTACATCTTTTTATACATTCACTGCAACGATCTTCATAATTGGAGAAATTCTTCGAAGTTTCTTCGATAGCGGCCTGCATCCCTGGGATGTTCAGGTGAAATGCATGCAAAGCCGTACGGTTGACGCCAACATTCAGCGCAAAAGTTCTGGAATTGTGTAAATGACATGTCAGCGTTTACGCAGAAGTCCGAGAATACATGTTTAAGATTAATTTCATCCATTTTAAACAGTAAAGCTAGATTGGCGTTATCGCGACAATTTTGTTTTTTCAAAAGAGAATAAGTTTGAACTAAATATATGACATCGAGACATCTATGTCGACCCAAAGTAAATATATTTCGAACTATATCACGATTTGTTGCACTATCATTCTGCATGTCATCGAAAATAACCACTGAATTCTTCTTCATCTGATCGGGAGTAAGTACTTGATCTGCCGAGTTAAATTTATAAAATCCGATGTATTTCAATGGCCGTAATATCTCTTCAAGGTATCTATATTTATCCTGATCAAGCGTCTTGCTGTAGAGATATATATTCTCAAAACGGAGACCGTTCTCGCTCAAAAGCATACTTAAAAGAACGTTCGTTTTACCTCCACCGGAAGGAGCTGCGATAATACAACGCACGTTGTTTGGAAATAGATCACTATGTCTTTTCGTTGTATAATCGCTAGCATTTGTATTACTGTCATTATTCTTAACAGGAATTACAAGAGCATGTTTCACGAAATGCATTTTGTTTACAACTGAATCATAATGTATATAAAAGCGGGAATTTATACACATCGCACTTTAATTGACGTTGGGACATATACGCAATAAGATCTCTCTTTATCTGTGTGTTCGCGCGTGAGTTATGGAAGCCTCATCATTATTATTGAAGATTGGACGTGGTCTTAATGATAGTAACAGTGCGCATAAAAAACCTAAGAGACATGTGAATCGTAAAAAACGCAAGTCTAACAATATCTCAAAGCGAAAATCGATCGCATTCAGTAAATTAGTCCAATACGCACGTAATAACATTAAAAAGTCTAAATCTAAATCATCATTAAATGGTACCATTAAAGCAGCCATTCGCTATGTTAAAGATATGAAACGTGATAAAACTGTGAATATTCCGCGAGTATTAAAGGTGCCAACCAAATTCGGTAGCGGTATTGATTCAATTTTACCTATACTAAGCGCGCTGAGTGCAGTCGGTTCCATTACATCCTCGGCTGTCGGTGTTGTTAAAACCATTAAAGATATACAGAATGCAAAAAAGCAGCTCATGATCGAGAATAAGCGATATAATATATATGACAGAGAAAAGAAAATCGGTCGCGCACTAAATTTATTTTATAAATCCGGTAAAAACGTAAAAGGTTCAGGATTTTATTTGAAACCATTTCAACAACACCATTGAATCAATATCATGAAACATCGACGTAGGGTCAAAAAAGAAAAGTATATCTCACCGTTAAGTAACTATGATATATGGAAATTGGCTATAAAATTGAAGATTCCGCATTTCCATGGACCAATAATGTTAGATAAATTGTCCGAAAAAGCACGACCCAGAGCACAAGAGTGCTGGATTTTAAATCATGGTAGTTCGCAAACAGATGGCACTCATTGGACAGCACTAGCAAAAAATTATGATGTAGCATTCTACTTCGATTCGTTTGGATTGCTGCCCCCACCGTTAGAGGTCATCCATTTTATCGGCAATGATATAAAACTCTATTATAATGCTAAAAGATATCAGAATTATGGAAGCAATATCTGCGGACATTTATGTCTGAGATTCCTTTATGATTTTTGGCAGAGTGTGATGATTAGGAAAAAGAAGAAGAAGAAAGAGCATATAAAAACACGTGCACTAGTATAAACGCTTCAGTCAATCATTAGATATGACATCACTCACAGTCACCTTCACAGGTACATCGTCAGTGTTGCAGGCAGACTTTTTCCCGGAAATCACGCTCGATCCGAGCAGTAACTATTGCTGTGGGCTATTGGATTTTACATCTTACAATTCAATACCGAACATTGTTGATAAACAAAATAACGAATTCAGGTTCAAATATAAAGTGGATGAAAAGAAGAAAGATACTAAAGGAAAAGAATTTATAAGTTCGACGTGGAAAGAGAGAACAATACTACTTCCCACAGGAGCCTATGAGATTGAAGATTTATTAAAGTATCTACAGACAGAACTCTCCTCCGTGAAAATCAGTTTAGCCTATACAATCAGTTCAGTGCTATCTAAAGTAAGAATTGCATTTAATAGTGAAGTAGTCTGGACAGGTGGAACAGCATTGAATGTTTTAGGATTCCTGAAGGAACGTACATCGACATTTAATAAAAATCTATCATATTGGAGTTCATCAATCGTTAAAATTACAAAACTTGATGTAATACGGATTGAGTGTGATATCATATCAGGTGCTTATATAAATGGAAAACATTGTCATACGATTCATCAATTTTCACATTCAAAAGTAAGCCCCGGCTATAAGTTTATCGAAGCTCCACGTCATATAATATATCTGCCGGTTAAGGAGAAGTGTATACAATCCATTCAGATTTCCGTCGTTGACCAAAGCGGTCAACCTATCGATTTTCGCGGAGAGCAAATTAGCTGCAGAATTCATATTAAAAAGAGTGAGTGATTAAGTCATAATGATAATTTATACTGAAGACAATAGCTGCAGTCCATTCAGATCTGCGAGCTATAAAAGTGCCAGCAATCAAAAAACGGGCAGTATTCGTGCAAAAACTCCAAAGCGTGATAGTCAACCATCGCGTGAAACAAAGAAAGTGAAAAAAAGTAGAAAAAAATCTATAAAAAAGAAGAGTCTCAACGCAAAAAACGTGAAATTTCTGAAGAAATTAGGATTCAGAGTTAAGAAACACTAAAATAATAGAAATGTCTGGCATTCTTAGAATTGACTCGCTAGCATCAAGAGATGATAGTATTATTAGAAAAGAATTCTATCAGTATACACCATACACAACATCTTTTGGTGAATCGGACGAGATAAGAATTGCTATTCAGAGTAAGGAAAGTTACTTATTGCCGTGTGAATCTTTTATTTATATGCAATTAGAATGTACGACCGCAGGCGTTCAAGCTGATGCTGACGCTGAAATTAAATTTGTAAGCAACTTTGCTTCGTTTCTGTTCAGCGACGTACGTTATGAGTTAAATGGCGTTGAGATTGACAGTGTAAGAAATGTCGGCCGAGCATCATTGATGAAGCTAATGATAGCTTCACGTATGTCACATCTAAGTGGATATGCATCATTTTGTAAAGCATTTGAGTCTACATCGCCGCGTAGAGCAAATGGACAATCGATAGTTTATGATGTTGTAATACCTCTGAGTGTTTGGTTCTTATTCTGTGATGACTATCGCAAAATAATTCTAAATTGCAAACATGAATTGATTTTAAATCGTTCACGACAAAGCCTAGATTGCACCGCCGGAGGTGGTGCAGCGGCCACGGCTGCGGTTGTGAGCATCGCATTGAGAAAAATTGAATGGAAAATGCCTCATATCACATTGTCGGATCAACTTAAATTGAACATGCTCAATTATTTAACGAAAAATCGTAAAATTACTGTACAACATCGTTCGATGGATATGATGGAGTTACCACAATTACCAGCAACAACCAGCCATGTATGGTCAGTCAAAACTGTCTCGAATCTAAATAAACCAAGATATGTGGTAGTGGGCTTGCAAACAGGTAGAAATGCCCGAAGAGTTGAGAATGTATCTAAATTCGATAGCTGCTATGTGTCAGATGTACGCCTACATTTGAATTCGCAGATATTTCCTTACAATATTAATGCTTTAGATATTGGAGGCGGTCTGTTTGCAGAGCTGTACAATTCATACGCCTCCATTCAATCATCGTATTATAACAGCACAGAAACGATAAATCCCTTCAATATTAACAATGGTGTATTCCAGGCTTCTCCATTGTTCGCATTTGATACATCTAGAGCTGATGAATCATTGATAGGAGGCGCTGTTGATATTAGAGTCGAAATAAAAACGCAACAAAATATACCGGCGAATACAACCGCATATTGCCTGATCATATATGACAATGAATTTACTTATTCACCATTCGATGGAATAGTTGTGAGAAATGTATAAAATGCTATCACAAACATAAAAAATTTACCATTCATATTATTAACGCATGAGAATATAGAGATAGACTATGAGTAAGCAACAAGTTGTCCAAGAAATCCATCGCGATGCTAGGAAAAATTTTCCACGTCGAAGGTTTACGATGTACGGAATCGCCGATACTATACAGGCTGATTTGATTGAAATGCAGCCGTACAAGCGAGAAAATGGCAATTTTCGATACATCCTTATCGTAATAGACGTGTTCTCGAAAATGGCTTATGCCGAACCGCTAAAGAATAAAACCGGACTTGAAGTCACGCAGGCAATGGAGCGAATTATACGGAAAATCATAAAGCAGTACCGTCATATCAATAATCTACATTCCGACCAGGGTTCCGAGTTCGTAAATAAAACGATGAAGCGGATGCTTGAAAAATATAAAATTAATCACTATTCAACGTTTAGCGTAATGAAGGCGTCCATAGTCGAACGCTTGATAAAAACTATCAAACGCCGTCTTTATACACAATTTAGTCTTCAAGGAAATTATAAATGGCTGGGAATTTTATCGCATACAATACATGATTACAACAACAGTTGGTAATTCAGCATATTCTTTATCATATTACTAGATTTGGAAAAATAACGATATATTTTTCTTTTCATGGGATTAAAGGCACTCGACTATTCGTATGAAACCTGTTGAAGTAAATGCTCAAAATGAACAGCAATTACTTGATACCGTTTATAATTATAAACGATTGGAACCGTCAACAGCTGCCGCTGAAGCAATAAAAAAATATCAACTTCGACGACGGAGTGCTAAATTTAAAGTTAATGACCCCGTCAGATTATCCAAATATAGAACAGTATTCGATAAATCATACTTGCCACAGTGGTCAACGGAAATATTTCGAATTAAAAAAATTCAATATAACACCGATCCGATTACATATCTGCTAAAAGATTATCAAGAACGTGAAATCAAAGGCAGCGTTTATG